AAAAACAAAACCAACTGTTAAACAAGAAGCAAATGCTGTGAATTATCGAAAATATTCTGGCGAAGCATCAACTTCAGCAGCCTCTGTTGTTCCGTTTACTGACTTCACCAACTATAATATGTTATTCCAACAACAATATCCCGTCTCTCCATTTTTTATGAATCCATTAGTTGTAAATAAAGCTGCTGTTGAATACAAAGAGGTGTTATTCGCATATTTATTTAGAAGTATAATAATTTAATAATAATTTTTGTTTTTGTTTTTTTTTGTCAAAGACGTAGTTGAACTTGTAGATTTAAATGACACATTTATTTCAATATTTTTTATTAATAAAAATGTCATATTTACGTAATATTCATCTTAATGATAAACACGCTTGATTAATTTAAACTACAGTATTTTCCGCTAAATAAATTTTATTTCCCGACGCCCCATTGATTAAGGCGCTTGAGAACACCCAAAGTTTCAATATAAAGTCTGCAAAGTTTTATTTATATCACCTAAAGTAGAAAGGCTTAATGATCCTAAATATATATATTTTTTGAATTTACCTTAATATATAAGGTGCGCTTATGGTGCTTTCGATCCTAAATATTGACTACTGTTATTGTATTAGTAGAGATATATCATGTAATTTTATAATTGATCTTTATAAATTGTACGCCAATGGTGTCCCTAGGTTTCATACCAAAAGTTTTTTTTAAAAAAAATGAAGTCCCTGTTTTGGTTTATGGAATTGTTACAAATGTAGAAAATTGGGTATTTCTTCGATGGGCTGGCTCTTCGGAAGACCCAACAGTAGAGATATTTGATTCAGTAAGTTATGATTTAAATTACAATGATATAACGCGAGCGAAGAAAGTCGTTGAATATATCGTCTTCATTCTTCAATCACAAGCTCGTGCCCTGAAAGATAGTTCAAATCGTATCCGAAGTAAAAGACATCGGAGTTGACTATATGCATTTAATTGGTTTACAATTATAATTCATATCTTTTTTACTACTTCATTTTCCTTATGTTTCTTTTTTTTACCCTTCTTAGTTCATTTTAGTTTCTTTGCATGCTTTTTATTCTTTCCTATTATTTCAATTTATAGCAATCTGATTTATTTTTATCTTCTTGTAAAAAAACGAATGAGTCTGACTAATGTTGTTAGTCGAAATTATTTTTGCCAATGTCAAAATTAAATTGTCTAAATGTCTAAATTAATTTTTTAATAGTAATTTTTAAAAAAATAACAATGTCAAAATTGCCTAA